AAAAACATTTTTTCCGACTTGTACACTTCAAATACAATATTCAAATGGTGAATTTATTCAAGCGTAAAAAGTAAACTTCTGAAATATTAATTCACATCTAAAGGACGTTCTCAATTTCAATCCAAAATATGAATGGTCTACAATGTAAAAAAAAATTGGGATGAGTTCACGAAACCAGAATTTAAAACTTTTTTATATATATTCAAGACGCCATCAACCATATTCCAAAAGAAGAATTGACTGGTGCTAAAAATGTAAGAGTAGTCTGGGGAGAAAGTGTGACTGACGGACGGACCGGGATTACACCAAGATACATGTCATTGTACATGTACTGATATACTTGTATCCGAACTTTTTTGAGAAAGGTGTAATAAGACACCACGCAAAATAAACCAAGTAAACACAGTTTGTCCTTTGACCACCGCAAAATTAATCTTAACGCATGGAAATCGCAAAAAATTCCCAGTAAAATTACTTTTTAGTTAAAATTAAAAGACACACTGATTTGAATTCAGTACGTTTGTCCTCAGCTTATGGTCTTGGGTTCATGATTCTTCTCTTGATGAGAACGATAGCGGTATCTTGAAAGACATCGACATTTCTTGCCAAAAGTACTTTTTAATTTTGCTAATCGGAATAAAATATTTAAATGGAGAAAAATGTTTATTTTCATTTAAATTTTTCTATTTTGACTATATTTTTAAAAAAATATTCATACGGTTTTCTTCTCTGCTGTTTTAATGTCCTATATGAAATTTTTTACGGAGGTGAAGATGTCACCTAGTTATCAGGGGAAGTGCCAAAATTATTATCTTTGCAAAGCGTTAAAGATCCTAGAAATGTGAGTTCTTTATCGTACATACGACTATTTTAAGGTATTATACTATATAAGGACCCTTGACTGTCCCTTTTTTGGCCGTGCACATGGCGAAGGAAGGTAAATTTATGGCACGCCAAATTCACAAAAATGAGATAAATCTAGTTTCACAATTGATAAACTAGGTTTATCGACTGTAAACTATAGTTAACGATTCGTTAAGTATAGTTAACGATTCGTTAAGTATAGTTAACGATTCGTTAAGTATAGTTTTCATCTGTAAAACTATATTTAACGGTCGTTAACTATAGTTTACGAATGCTAATCTAAGTTTATCTGTCTGAATAAAGCGTTAACAATAGATTTTGTTGATAAACATAGATTCACGTTTGTAAACTATAGTTTACAATCGTAAACTATAGTTAAGAGTTGTTAATTATAGTTTCACAAATTGTGAAACTATATTTATCAGATCGTTAACTATAGTTAACGGTTTGTAAACTATAGTTTACAAATCGTGAAACTGTATTTATCAGATAATCTATGTTTTGCAATCGCAACTGATTGTTTTCGGTGTTAAGTATAGTTTACGGTTGTGAAACATAGATTATTGCGTTAACTATGGTTTACAGATGTGAAATATAGATTAACGTTGTTAACTATAGTTTACGGTTTGTAAACTATAGTTTACAACCGATAAACCTAGTTTATCGATTGTGAAACTATGATTATCTCATTTTTGTGAATTTGGCGTGCCATATAAATAATATATGTTTAATATTAACATCTTAGATTTGAGGCCCCGTGGGGATCCGGGTTAGAATAGGTCCTTAGTACCCCCTTGCTTGTCGTAAAAGGCGACTAAATGGGGCGGTCCTTCGGATGAGACCGCATAAACCGAGGCCCCGTGTCACAGCAGGTGTGGCACGATAAAGATCCCTCCCTGCTCAAAGGCCGTAAGTGCCGAGCAAAGGCCTAAATTTGCAGCCCTTCACCGGCAATGGTGACGTCTCCATATCAGTGAAATATTCTGGAGAGGGACGTTAAACAGTATTCAATCAATCAATCAATCTTTGATTTGAGGCGCACCGGGAATGAGAATCGAACATGGCCCCCATATTACGAAGTGAGTACTATACCGTTAAAACTACCGCGACCAGTAATATTGTGAAGTAAAGAGGGATATAAGCAAAAAATATTATCAAGCCTTTCAGAAAATCTATATTCACTTCTTTTCATTTTCAATTCGCAATAAAACGCCTTTAGTAAACGTGCTTTCTGTGATTGATGTTGTTCATCTTTATTTTGCTTTTAAAAAGTACGCCTTTTTAGACGGAGGCTTAGCCTCCGCTCTATTGGTACCGCTCAGCTGCGGCGGAAGGGAATTTGCGATCGTCATCTAGCGGCTAATCACGTTAACTTTGATAAGCTTGGTCCCCCGGCTCATTCTTTCCAAGGCAGGAGTACATGAAGCAAAACAGGGACAGTAACTAGGCCTTTGATAAACTGTTCCTGATATCGGATATGTGCTGTATACAGATAGGTGATCAGTAATGTTTAGAGTCCGCTGCTGACACACTCATTGGCTGATAAAAACACTCGCTGACATAGAATTTAAATTGTCGGGGAAACCAAAACAGATCACCGAGTGCAGTTCTCTGCATCTGCTTTTCATGCAATTAATCAAATTCGGTCACAATATTTTACACATACAATACATAATTCTTTTTTTTCTCATGGACCTATAATTATCTCACACCTTTCACCTCACCTGGGGAATTTTAATTAGTTTGCGAAGGTCCTATCACATTAATACCCTACATTACCTAGATAGAAGAAATCTGCTTCATTGTTTCATTGAAACTGATATAATTTAAATGTTCACTCATTGACTCAGCAAAGAGCTGCGGCTTGTCTGTTTATAGCTCTGCTGCATCCTTTTTTTTTTTAGAATTCCTTATCACATGTTTCAGAAGTTAGATGGGACAAAGTGACCCACATGTTTCTATGTTTACATGACCAAAACCAAAACAGTGGCTTGAATCTTACTTTGTGCAACATGGTATAAATTTAGTAATATTATGGCTAACCTGTGCAAAAAAGGATATGCAATAAAACACTGTTGTCATGGAATCTGCAATATATCAAATATTTTAAAAAAAATATATGCAAGGAGTTCAATTTGTTAATTTCAAACCTTGGAGAGATATTGAAAAAGTGTCAAGGATGGGCGAATGCTTGTAAACGGTTCATTGGCGGATCCAAGGAAGGGGGGGGGTCCGGGAATTGGAAGCCCTCTTTATTTTCTGACTAATGGAGAGAGAGAGAATGAAACGTTTTCTGAGAATAAATAAAAATACATATATTTGTACGTCTAACTTATGTATTGAATAGATATATTCTCACACATTAATTTTCTTCCACTCACTTTTCTTTCAAATGATATGATTAAAACGGTTCTATATTATATGAACCGTTTTAGTCATATCATTTGAAGGAACTAACATGCAACTCTTTGTTTTAAACCCAAACTGCATCCACCACGGATTTTTTTTTTCAAACTCCAAAAGAAAATTCTTTGTACTCTTTGAAAATGCTGCAAATTCATTCAATTTTAATTAAGGCTTCAGTAGGTTTTTTTTTAATTTTTTCTTTAAATTCGGACTGGGGGACCAAAGAAATAAATGGACGTAAACAAATATTATTTACCGAAACCTAAGATCTTCCATACGTGTGTGTGAATCCTTGCTTGAAAGTGTGTAAGGGGGGGTATATGGACAGTACAACCCTGGAACCCCTCTTTCAAAAGTGGAAGGATCTGCCTCTGAAACGGGAATGATTTTCAACGAAAATGGGTATTATCCGTAAAATCGCGTATAATACTGGATATTAGGGTATCGTTGAATCCACAATATCTAGTCAAGGCGGTGTAATCACTTTATTAAACTTGAACAATGGGGTGGCATATTTTGCGGGATCAACTTTCACCTAGATGCAAATGTTTCTAAAGATATCACCAGTCAAGTAAGAATTTGGAAGTCAGGATTAATGTGCACTGGACAACAAATACCCATAGAGCTTAGTACATTTCAAGATCTGCACCCAAACAGGTGTTTGTTCTGCTTGATGTTTTTCATAATGTTGGAAATATTTGGATCTTCTGTATGTTCATACCCAACACAACAGAAATATTAATTAAAATTTGAATGTGCATGTAGATCTATGCATTGTATCTTGTATCTCTAAAAGAGTTAGAGATACTAAACACTTTTTGGCTTTCTCACATTTCAGGAAGCTCTTACCACGAGTCACTAAAGAATTGAAATTGATATAGTTTATTGCAATTAGATTGGTTTGTCCTTTTGATGAAAAATAGGAATTCAGTAAATTACATAATTAAACATTAGACCACGGTAACATAAAAGAAGAAGATGTGTTTGTGAAACACTGTTGCCCCCCCCCTATATATCTCTTATCATTCAAAAGTCATGGCCAAGGTTAAAGTTTTTTCATCAGTATAAAATATCGAAGGTCAAGGTCAAAAGGTCAGGTTTGTTAATATCCAATGAAAAGTCTTTCCACAAAAAAAGATATATGAAGTAATAATGTCCTGGTATCTACTTTTCAAAAGATATGGCCAACTACCCTTAGGCAAATGTTGGGGTCAGAATATGAATAAAAAATTCCCAAAGAGACAAACAATCATGTTCATTCCAGGCCTCCGTCTATCAGTACTTTCAGTACTTTGATTTACCTTTTGGGAGAGCGTTAAAACGCCTTACTACGTGGCATTATTATTTACCTTTTGAAGGCGTACCGTTCTGCTTTCTAACTTGCACTCCGTAGTATAGCGCCTCTCTAATGTTCAAGTAGTTTTATCTTAATAACCTTTCGTAGTTTCAGGTCAGAAAGCATGCGCACATTACATAATATTAATAAATAGCACTTGGAATAGAAACTAAAAGCATGCTTTACGAATATTTACATCCAATTAATCGCTTAAATCACATACTACTAACACAACATTTAAAAGAAAATATGAAAGATTTTTAAAACAAAGACCCACAACTAAACAAGAATCATTAGAATTCATATAATACTCGATATCTTCCGCCTCATGCAGCCATTTTGAAAAAAAAAGATTTGTTTGTTCAAGAAAACATGGACGCGGCAGACCTCCGAGTTTGTACGAATGATGGTATGTGCTCATCATTTCCCCTAAAATTATGTTGTTTATGGATGACTGTTCATGGATATCAGCAAATTAATTATTGGTAAATATCAAATATTTTAAAAAGGAAGTGAATTCAAATGAATTCAGATGAAATGAACCATCTGTTTGACGTGCCAGAAGGATTTTTTTGTTACTCTATGACCTGTCGATACCGTCTTACAACTTACAGTAGGACACTAGTAGCTGGTTAGATAAATTTCTAATAGTCTAACTCTATTTAGTTTAGGAAAGTACATTTAATAATATTATATTGCCGACCTTGGTCAGAAGTGTTTTTTTTTTTAAATTTAATTCAACAATGTAGTTTTTGTTTGTATTTGTCTGTAAGGCAGCATTTGCAAACTTGGTTTTAATTCCCCATTTTATTATCAAACAATAACCCTGAGTTCCCTTCCAAAAGATGGAAATCAAGATCAGTCTTCAGAGTACATTAATTTAATATTCCAGTCAATGGAAATGAGTTTGATATTCTGTACCAGTATTGTATATGCACTAGTATTCCAAAACTCCATTATGTGATAAAAATCTTACTTTTAGGCATATCAATTGCAGCTAGTTCTAGGAAATGTTCAGCCTAGCTTCTCAAAAATATTAACTGCTGTTAAAGAAAAAAAATCAGATGTTTTGTTTATAATAACAAATTCAAGATATGGTGTAAACCAAAAGTCGCCTCTAAAAATAACTCAAAAGGAATTCTGGAGAAATTTTAAACCATAAATCTTCTTAAACATGAAAAAAGCATCAAGACATATAATTTTTCCTATGCTTTATTCAACAATTTCTTGCGATAAATAAAAGTGCAGCATTTTGAACAATCACTACCATAATAAAAAATGAATCTCGACAATTTTTGAACAATCACTACCATAATAGAAAAAAATGAAGCTCTACAATTTTTGAACAATCGCTACCATAATAAAAAAAATGAAGCTCGACAATTTTTGTATCGTGCGATTCGTCATCTACAAAATCTAAAAAAATATTCTGATACTATAAAAAGTACTCTAAACCTGATATTGAAAGAATGCTGGGGTTTCGCATTGACAATATCAACGTTGTTTTAAGAGACCATGTCTCCCAACAATCTGATGAAAGTCCGATGAGCACTAATTGTGTTTCGTTTATAAGCCAACCTGATTTTATTTTCCCTTCAAAATTTTTTCATGAAAAAAGCAAACTCTTGCGATGACCATTCAAATCAACGTTTATATAATCGACAATATCTTTATCAATTAAAAATTGTTACTTTTATTCATATGTCGCCAATAAAAATACCAGTGTCAGAGCCGTTAATAAAAGACACTACAGAGTATGTTACGTCTGTTTCATACTTGGATATTTTACTGAATATAAACAACTTTGAGGGACCTACTGTAATAACTAAAGTGTTTAACAAACAGGATCCAGGATCATGAAACACTGACAGACAGACCTAAAACAAATTTACTGTCTCCTGCATATTATATAGATTTTTTATTTATTGAATTAATCTCTGATTTTGCAAATATCAACACTTAAGTAAAACAGCTTGTTGATTTTGGCCAGTTTGACTTCAACAACATGCATTCATGTACAACAGAAAGATATTGACTTAATATGTTTCAAGATCCCGGGGCCTGGATGGAATATTTTAACATCACTTGTAAAAATACCGATTTGATACGCAAGACCATCCTATGAAAACGATCCTTCGTCTTTTGCAAAGTGTATCGTTTTCAGGCTTTTAGATATATGACACTATCCATTGCACTGAATTGTTATATTGCAATTACAGGAAAGCTTAATATATCTAAATAAAATAAATGCTTAATCTAAGAAATTATTTCATTGTCTGTTTACATTTTACAATGCCAACATTTGATATTTTATCAATGCAGGAAGTTTACAAAATATTTACCCACATTATAAAATGGTAAAGTGCATCAAAATTAATCAATTTATTACATAGTGTATAATTGATTTTATATTGTTAACGTCCCTCTCGAGAATTTTTCACGCATAATGGAAACGGCACCACTTGCCAGTGGAGAGCTGCAAATTTTTGTCCTATACTTGGCACTTAGGGCCATTGAGCTGGGAGTGTTCTTTTTCGTACCAGCACCTATACTGCGACACGGGACCTCGATTTATACGGTCTCATCCGAAGGATCGGTCTCTACGTCCCACAATGGGATTCGAACCGGCGTGTAACGATCCACTCCTTACTTCGCGACTTGAGAGCAGACACTCTAGCCACTGCGCCACGCGCGGGCGACCACATAGTATTTGAATTATTTTGCATCAAGTACGATTACTGTATCAAAACATCTGGTTAAATATTTTTTTGATTTTAAAGTGATTGAAATAAATCTTACACTTTTAGTACAGAAAGGTTAAATTCACTGTGCTGTTGCTCATTCATTACAGATTAAAAAATTCATTTGTAATTTTGATATACGTTTATTAATTCAAAAATTATATTATTCCTTGCCAAAAAATATATATATCCTTGATATGTGCAATGTAAAAAGTAGCAAATCTTCACGACTGAATTTTGCAGAAAATACCTGAATGCATTCTAAGATAAAGAAATTACTCAGTCAACGAACAACACTCTAATGCAAATAATACGAGCAATAGAGAAAAACTTGATAAAAAGCCCTCATGTTAATACAGGTAAAGCTTTTACAAGTAGTGATGTATGTAACAAAGAAATGGTCTTAATTAAACACAAAATACAATCCTTTTGATTTATTCAATAAAATATGTTCAAAATGAAACAAAGAATATACTTGATATGTTTGATAACTGGCCATTTCCTTCAATTTCAGAAATACGCATTTCTTCAACAAAAATGGAAGAAGAGTCATGTTTAGTCTGTAAATTGGACTTTGGACTCATCGAAAGGAAGCCATACATTTTGTTTTGTTGTGCAAAAACTATATGTAGCCATTGCTTGTTTAAATTTTTTGAAAATGAAGAAATTGACAAAAGGTGTCCAAACTGTAGAAAAGATTTGCCCGAAGCTCTAGAAAATTTTAATTTAAACGAAATCATCATTGAGGCATTGAAATTTGAACAATTCGGAGAGGTGAGCTGTGAGCAGTGTACAGAAGGCAATGTCCAGAGAGCAGTGAAAATGTGCAAGGAGTGCGGATTGATATGCAGAAAATGTTTAAGTTGTCACGATCACATGAAAATCTTCCGCGGTCATAATTTAAGCCCCATACCGCTGAATAAATGGTCAGACAATCTACAAATGGCCTTTAGAGCCCCTTTGTTTTGTGAAAAGCACGACCAGAAACTTGAATCTTTCTGTAGGCATTGCGGGGTAGCTGCTTGCCAAGAATGTCTTGAAATTTCTCATATTGATTGTCGACCCATGATTTATCCAATAGATGATGAATTCACGAATGTAGTACAATCTCTTAGAGATGATTTGCATCAGATCGATTTAAATAAAATAAAATCCTGCAAAAAATTAAAGGAAACACAAGAACGCCAGCTAATGGATACAGATAGGGAAATACAAGCCTTAAAGGAGCAGTGTCTGAGTACATTGAACAATAATTTTGACGCAGTGAGAAAAGGATTCCAGCTCAAAATGCAAAAATTTGTAGAAAGTAGCAATAATACAATGAAGCAATTGGAAAAGCTGAAAAATCGCCACGCAGATCTGTTAAATTTTCTAGAAAGGGCGCCATCACTGCACAACAAAGGCGGATTTTTGCAATTTACAAAAAAAGTAAAAGATAGCATTCAGCATCTGAGCAAAAATTTGGAGGAGGTAGACAAGATTGAAGTAATTGACTACCTTAGCCTGACAAAAGACATTTTCAGAGAATTACAATTAGCAGTTGGCGAGGACTCGTCAGTTGATTTTGCGTTAGATGTTGCTGAGAGCGACAATTCTTATCCTTCAATTTTAAACATTTTGAAGGAATACCGTCACTCAAAAAGAGGGAAGGAAACAGGCATTCATACAGTGGGAAGTAAGTAGACTACGTTATACAATTAATGAATAGTCATTGAATTTTAGGAGGAGAACCATTATTTTTAAGTGCTGTAAGGCAAAGTTAAAATAACGAACAGATATTGATCAAAAGTTCTTTCAAACAATTCAAATTCGTGAAAAGAGCATAAGGCACTGTCTCTTGGAAACCCGAAAGGTTGGATCAGATGCCCTAGATGAGTAAACATCCCCTGTCGACCGGTCACAACAGCCGTGAGCCTTTTGTATCTGTATATAGACGGAGTAATCCGTTATCAAATTTAGTATAAAACCATGGTCTGACAATACTGTTATATGACATGTTAGGTCTAAAACATGGAAATGTAGAAGCTTAATTACATTGATAAATTAACTGAAGATAACGATAATTATGAGGAAGCGGGATAATTGTGTAGTGCGCAAATTAAAACAATGATTCTTAATGAAACATTAGGTTTGATGCATGTCTTCTTTATAAATTATCTGAGTGACAATAATATTTTGTTTCTACAGTGTTTTCTGGACAACATCCTCTTTATCGTGTGACGTTTGGACTGGACACGTTTCCACGGTTCGAATATCATTTGGAACTGGTCCAAAAACTAATTGACCATGAAGAATCAGTGGACAGTGAAGTTATTACACCTGATCTACATGAAGCTCTTCCTGCTGCAATTTTGGTCGCTGGAAGGGTTACAACAGACAACTTAGAACTTCTGAAACCTCTGAATGCTGATAAAGTTGATGAAAACGAATTCCCATGTAAGACTGATAAGATTATTTTTATGCCACCGAAATCGAAGGTTCGCGATATACATATCTATAGTTTTTGCTCTGTCAGTCTTTCTTTCTGTGTGACAAGATCTTTATTTGGGTACCACCAAGTTTGACCTCTCGATCTCGGAGTTTGACTCAATTTAAAAGAAAATCAAACTTTAACATTTGCCATACCTTTTCAACAGTTGGTGCTAAATGTTTTTGACCTTGACCTTAGACCTACCTTTAAAAACTTTAACGTTTGAACAGTTTGTATTAGGGCTTTCATAATTCACATATGTATTCCTTGTGATAAGACCAACAATATTGACTTTTGACCTTGACCTTATATTTTGACTTGCATTTGAAAAACCTCAATCTTCGCCATAAGCAGCCACATGGGGGCATCAGTATTTCAGGAACATATCTTGTTTTAAATCAATGTGGGAGCCCCAATATATTATCACCTTAGTCATTTAAAATGAAATTATTCAAGATAAAACTTTTAGATACTTGCTTTTTGGCTATAATTAAATTATATCTTTCCGTTACAGTGTCAGAGGGACTGAGTCATGCTACATTGATTTATTTTATTGGTTTCGATGGTGCAGAAAACAGAAACCAAAGTGTAGCACAGGTATTTAAAAAAAACGAATATTCTCTCTAAAACATCCGTATTTGCCTTATCTGAGCAATAAACTTGAATCAAATGTTAATTGAGAAATAAGTATTTAGTATTTTGGTTTTTTGACCTGATCAAGCAATTGGTTTGTAAGATGTTAAATCCGAAAACAGTAAAAAAGTAAACAATCGAAGAGAAAATCATTTTACATAATTTTTTTTATCTATTTCTTAATAGGAAGAAATTATCAAAAGCTCAAAATGGTGTGTGTTCGTAACATCGGAGTCTGAATTAGGAGAGGATTACTCGAGGCTAAAGGAAGACGGGTGTTTCTCGGTTGTTTCCTATGAAGCAGATGCAATATGGGATAATCTGACTTCAGCACTAGAGCTTTCTCTAATAGAGTATCTTAACAAAAAGAGGAAAGGACAAGGTATTGGAACGGCCGAATCTGGCCCCTTATTTGGTGTAAAATTCAGAACGATGTTTAAATTGTGAAAGATTGTAGTTAAGAACTTTGATAGAACGCTTGTTTTGAAACCAGCACTAATTTTGATTCAAAGCTTACATGGAAGCCACTAGAGGGTACAGAAGTATGACATTTTCTCGAATTTTCTCAATTTTGCTGATTTTTTTCAAACTTGGGATACTTCTTTGGGAAACATAGAGCACAAGCTTGCCTATCTGAGATTTTTTATACATAAGATGCATCTGAAATTACTCAAATTAACGTATAAAATATACATGTATAGATTTGGTAGATAGGCAAGTTTGTGCTCTATATTTTTTGAAACAAAATGTGTTGTAAAAAGAGCAATTTGCAGTAGAATGAGAAAATTGGGAAAATGACATATTTTATGACCTTCCTGTAACATCCGTGTATCCCATAAGTTAGAACTAGTATTCATTTTGTGACAGGGATGACACAGGTTTTAATAATTAACTAGTTCTGTTGTATCATTCTAAAAGACATCCGAAAACAGGGGCCAAGAAGAAGTCTTAACCCATCTTGCCCTTTTCAAATCGAAAACTGAATTCGTTTTTTTTTCTAGCAGATAGTGAAGCCATAATTACACGAATGCAAAAATGCTCGTCCTTTCCTGTGGTTAAGGCTGGGCAAAAGTCAAGAGAAATTCCAAAGGAAATTAGTATCATCTTGGAAAGGTACCTACCTCTCTCAATCTCTCCCCTCTTGAAAAAATATATGCTTTTAAATCAGTAAGACTGCATACTTTGAAGAATACATACTAGTATACTAAAGTATTTGAAGAGGATTTTCCAACCTTTGTTACCTTCTGATTAAAACCAATTTAAATTTAAAATGTCATTGCCAATAATAAACTTGTTGTATATTCTGAATCAAGGTCAAGCCATGGAACAAAAAGATGAAACAATTTAATCTAAAGTTTTTGCACTTGCTATTCCATGAAAATGTAAACTTATAGAAACTTATAGTAGCTTATAATTTTTATAATTCTTGCAGGTTTAAAAAACACATTGTCAAATATGGCTTTCATTTTGAAGATTTTCGAGTGATTGTGGATGACTGTTACGAATCTGATATAAAAAATGAATTTGAAAAAGTGACTTCAACAGATTTTTGTAAAATTGTTGTAATATCTGAACAAAATTTAAAAGAGGAAATCAAACCTTTTGCCATCTCCCAAGCTCAGGGGATGAAACTGTATCCCTCACTGTCCGAGCACAATTATGGGACTCTCGGCTGCCTAGCAATACTGAACAAGGAAAAGGTGGTTGCATTATCATGCAGACATGTGTGCATAGAGAACAATACGGTATATATAGAAAATGAATCAGGTGAGCGAATAGCTGTAGGAAAGTGTCTTCATAATCCAAAAGGAGAAATTCAAACAATTCAAAGCGATCTAGCAATTGTAGAAGTAGATGAAGATGTAGAAAAGTCTTTTCCCAGTAAAGGACTCCTGAATCACAAGAAAAAACCAACAAAAGCTGAGGTATCTCCTCTAGACAACAGTCTGAAGTTCATTGACGACATCGTTCATAAGCTAGGTGCATCATCAAAATGGACACAAGGTAAAATTGTGTCCTCTGAAATCATCGGCAATGTACACGGTATTATCGCAGTGAAGGGGATGAATGATGAAGAGTTCGGTAAACCGGGGGACTCTGGCTCCATAGTGTTTCGAGAATCGTTCAGTACGAGGGAGAGAAAGCTGGAAGTCATAGCTGTACTTACCGCTGGTAGATACGAGGCCAGATCTGACTCAGTGGAGGAAGAGAAAGAAGAAAAACAGAAGTTAAATCTGGTCGTATGCTCGCCTTTTAAAAATGCTTTTGACATTTTAAAGAGAAATGACCCATCTTTGGAATCCATCACTTTTTTCAATGATTGACGTCTGTCATGAAATACTATGTTGTTCACAAAAAAGTACAAGTAAAACCTATTATTTTAGACTAATGATGCCTCTAAATAGAATAGTGTAGGTATGTTAATGCTTTCAAACTATTTAACTATTTAAAATATGTTTGAATAAAACTTGGAACAATTCACAGAAAGTTACTGTTTGTATGTGTACCAGTCATACCCCTGAAATGATTTGACAGAGGTGTTCTGGGAACCAATTCGACCCAAATTTATCGCCAGGGTAAAAATGAAAAATGTAAAACTTCACTGCATATTAAATGTTACTAAGATTTGAATCTAAGTATTTGATTTTGTAAAAATTATAAGTAAATTCATTGTTCTATATATTAATTTCGAGTAAAAAGAAGAAAGATAAATTTCACTCATAATAAGTTGCCATCAACAGACGCCATACAGAAAAAGTCGATTACCCCTCCCGCTTTTCAGATTTATAAAAATTCAAACTCGTTTTTTTTTGATTACCTATATATTAATTTCAGAATTGTATAATTGTGACAAACTCGAAAATAGAATTGTATAATTGTGAGTATCTTCTGCTGATGTAAAAATACATATGTAGATCAAGGAAGAAGATTGTGTGGCAGACAGAGCAGGATAACAGCAATAGCGCTGCCTTTCTTCAGAAAGTTCGGGCATGGTTAAAAAATGTATTCATCTTGGAATATTTTAGGTGTAAACATCATTGCCAGTGTTAAGACTTGAGAGCAGAAATTTGCTATAGTCAGGTTCCCCCAAAATCTGTTCTCCAAAATGAATTTTCTACTAAAAATTATAAATGCTTACAACAAAACAAAACCACTGCTTGGGTGAAGAGTAAGAATGTACCTTCAACTTCAGCAATGTACGTGTTAATGGATTTGAAAACGTGATGGGCTAACCTGCTCTTCAAGACAAATAATAATTTACATATCCTAGTTTCAGCGTTAGAGCTCCTTTAAGTTTTAACTATAAAAATGAGTAGTATCTATCTCTTAATATACGTTGTATTTTCTTCAGAAATCTTGAATGTATCAGATGTAGAATTTTTAAAATAAATAAACATTTTTTTTCTTTTAAAATATTTGGAAGAACGATAACTTCTGTTTAATATATAAATTACAAAATAAATATTATTTCAAAATAGCCACCATAATTTTGATGAAACTTCGCCAATTATTTCTGCTTGACACAAAAAATATATCATTAAATAAAATTTCGTTTCTATGTGTCTTCCTTGCCATGGCAACAAATGGAAAATGTGGAAAAAAGGAGATTTTCAGCTATTTTAAATCTTTGTAGAGCCCTAATAAAGACTAGAAGAAAAAAACTGTTCTCACCTTGTTGCCATTAATACTATAAAGAAACTGTTAAGAATATATCCCAAAGTATAAGTGGTTACTATGCAGGGATCGAAATTAACTTTTTTGACCACTAGCAAATGGGACATATAGAATATATTAATAAATTCAAATGATAAAAAAAATCTTGAAAAACCCTTAATATTAACTAATGATTATTGTTACATCATCAAACTCAATCAACAGTTTAAGAAAGACAATAAAGGTATTTGACATTAAGTATTATTACCCTAAGAATAACTTTCATGGTCGACATGGAACCAAAGTGTTGCCAAGCAAAATCTGTTACCAAAATTTGTTAATGTTATATACCTGTCCAGATTGCATGGCATATATATATCCTTAGAACTTTACAACATCGAGAACATAAGAAAAATACTAGGATTAACTGCTACTTCGCAGTGTAACCATGGAAACAACTAACCAGTGGTTTATAGTAGTTTATTTGCTCCTTTAGGAATTAACTTGCATTTAATCAAGAAACATATTTTTTGACTCATCTTGAATAGTCCTTATCTGGCAGAGCTAATTTTATAGTTTAAGTCTAAAAGAGGATTTGATTTTACAAAAATAAGCATAAATTTCCACCAAATTCTGGAATGTCCGTACTATGTACAAGGCAGGAAAGCAGGCTCAAGTAGTCAGAGTGAGGAAGAACAACAAACTACACATACTAGGAGTAAGTAAATGCAAAGGGACAGTTTTTGGAAAGAGCATGACAAACAGCGGTGAAGCAATCATTTACTTAGGCAAGAAAGATGGTAGACATCACGAGGGATCGAGTAACAATTATTCTGAGTAAAGCAGCAGCAAAGTCCCTGATAGAGTACCATCCTGTAACTGAGAGATGGATAAGAGCGACTCGACACAAAGCCTATTAAATCATCTGTCAAACAACTCTACTCTCCTACTAATGAGGCAGAAGATGAAGCCAAACAAGACTTCTATGATGTACTACAAGCTGAAGACGAAAGGATTCCAAAACATTATTTAACCATCATCGTGGAAGAATTTAATGCAAAAGTAGGCCAAGACAACACCGGCTGTGGTACATGACTAAGAATGGTGAACATCTGGCAGAGTTTTGTGGTAACAACAACTTGGTTATAGGTGTAACATTATTCCTACACAAAGGAATACACAAGCTGACTTGGGTATCACTCGGAAGAAGAGACAAAAATCAGGGACCATATTATTATAAATTGTGTTATAAATATATATTAAGCTTAATGGAAACAATCTCTTCAGGATGTGATAGTAAGACGAGTTGCAGATGTAGGCATCGATCACCCCCTTGTAACTGCAGATTTTAAACTGAAGAAAACTATACCTAAGTACAGCTGGAAAATATTTGATATTGGCAAACTAAGTGACATCGAAACCAAGCAAGAATTTAGATTGGAGATGAAAAACAGATTCTATATCTTGCAAAGTAGTGATATAGACGAAGAACAGATAGACGAACACTGGCAAAACTTAAAGGATACAATGCAAGCGAGAAAATTATTGTTTAAGAAAACAGGTACATAAAGAATGGATAACACCAGGTACATGGACACTCATTGACGGCAGAAAAGAACTAAAGAAGAGGTCGTGTAACACACATTCAGAAAGAATCAAAGAGGAATTAAGAGAACAATACTCAGACAGTAACAAAGAAATAAAGAAGGCCACAAAGAGGGGTCGTAAGAACTTCATTGAAAAACATGGCAAAAGAAGCTGAAAAAGCGACTTCAGAACAAAGAATGGGTGATGTTTATCAGATCACAAAGAAGCTAAGTGGACAAAGAAGAATGCATGTATGCTAGTAAGAGACAAACAGGGCTCAATGATTACATCAAAGAAAGACCAAGAACAAAGATGGAAGGAGCATTTTGCAGAGATACTGAATCGCCCATATCCAAGCAACAGAATAGAAATATCCGAAGCAATCTTCGACTTTGAAATCAACACAGCTGAACCATCAAAATTAGAAACAGTCCCGGCAATCTAACTTACCAGCTGAAATATTCAAAGCAGACCCTATCCTTCCAGCAGGTATCCTTCATCCTCTTTTCTGCAAGATATGGAAGTACAACATGATACCCGAAACATGGTCTGAAAGGTAGCATCATCAAACTACCAAAGAAAGGAGACCTCACAAACTGTAACAACTGGAAAGGTATTACTCCCTCTATACCAAGCAAGATCTTTAGTAAAATAAATGTATGCAGAATTTAGACAGCAGTGGTGGATAAAAAATTAAAGAAAGAACAGCCAGGCTTCAAAAAAGGAAAGAGCTGCTGTGCCCAAGTGTTTATACTAAGAAACAGTGCACAAAAAACCAGAGGTCTCTGTCGAGACTGTAGCTCTACTGGTTTGTACTTATAATAAAGGATGATAAACGAAACCATTGCCATCAAACCAAAACTGTAGAAGGGGTAGCGTTTTAAAGAAATTTCACAGACATTTCTATTTTTAGTAACAATGGCAACACCGTTCATCGAAATCAAAAACCGATGCACTGTTTTATGTATCTTAGTGTAGTCTACTTGTGTGCCAAGTTATATTGAAATCAGACCAAAGCTGTAAAAGGAGTAGCATTTTAAAGGAATTTCACAGGAAAATCTATGTTTAGTAACCATGGCAACACCGTTCAACAAAATCAAAAACCGATGCTCTGTTTTATGTATCTTAGTGTAGTCTTTTTCTTTGCCAAGTTATATTGAAATCAGACCAAAACTGTAAAAGTAGTAGCATTTTAAAGGAATTTCACAGAAAAACCTATTTTTAGTAACCATGGCAACACCGTTCAACAAAATCAAAAACCGATGCACTATTTTATGTATCTTAGTGTAGTCTACTTGTGTGCCAAGTCATATTGAAATCAGATCAAAACCGTAGGAGGAGTAGCATTTTAAAGGAATTTCTCAGAAAATTCTATTTTTAGTAACCATGGCAACACCGTTCATCGAAATCGAAAACCGATGCACTATATTATGTATCTTAGTGTAGTCTACTTGTGTGCCAAGTTATATTAAAATCAGACCAAAACTGTAGGAGGAGTAGCATTTTGAAAAATTGTTTACAGACAGATGGACAGACAGCTAGACAGACGGACGGAGGACGGACAGCTTACTATCGCATAAGCTCTTCTGAATCTCAGGGGCGTAGCAACTACTTATCTAATAGGAAATGTTAATTGAAAGCCTGGTTGCCCGCCCCCCCCCCCCCCACTTTTAGTGATGTACCGAAAATGTAGTATTAAAATTGGTACTGAAAGTAGTTGACACTGAGAAAGTCTACCTACCCCCCCTTCCCACCACCACGAAATAAGATTTTCGACTTTGGACAACTTTTTCCTTTTTTTTTTTGGCTTGTCAAATTTTTCAGGTAAGTAAAAAAGAAAATTTTCTCTGGCTGGCCTCCCCACTTTCGCGCCTGCTAAAAAGCTAAAAAACGTAATAAAATACAGATGGAGATGGATAGGCCATGTCTTGAGAAAGCCAACAAATGGCATCGCAAGAGTGGCACTTAGATGAACGCCAGAAGGGAAAAGGAGGAGAGGCCGACCAAAAACAACATGGAGGCGAACAGTGGAGAAAGAACTTAAGGAAATAAACCTTACTTGTTGAGAGGTGGAGAAGATTGGAAAGAATAGAGAGGAATGGAAATCCCTAGTCTTCTCCTATATGCCTCCGGGTGCAACAAGGACTAGCTAGATAGGTAGGCACTATAATATGCTTTAATATATCAATTTGCCTAAAATTAGCTTCCGTTAATTAAGTTTCATTTTCATAAATTTTCATTATATTAGTATATTGGTGAGGTAAATTTATGCAAATTAAGAAAATGTTTTTGCAAATTTTCCCTTATTTATGTAACTTTATGCAAATTAAGCTACTTTTCCGCACAAATTCTGTAAAGCAAATCAAGGAAATTTGTACAGATGAATGTTAATTTATGCAAATGTAGACTTATTTATAAAATATTTACATATTTAAGAAAACTTATGCAGATACGAAAATTCTATGCTAAATTAGAATGTATGTTGATCTATGCAAGTAAATGGGATTTTATGCAAATGTACCGAATTTCATATTATGCATTTTTGTAATGAAGGATATGTAGATAACAACCAGTATTCAATATCAAAGTACATAAAACTATACAAAATAGGAGCACAGTCACCACAGACCTCCAAAACATCAGAGGGGGGATCAGGTGCCATGGAAGAGTGAGCATCCCCTGTCGACCGGGCACACCCGCCGTGTGCCGTGTAATTTATATTTATCACTGTATATTATTTTGATCTATAATATATTAATATTAATTCATGCTATTTTGTGAATTTTTTTGTGCTATTTTATGTAAATTAATGACATGTTGCTACCTTTTAAAAAGTTTTCGATGACATTTTTGTCGCGAGTTTGAGTAGTTTTTTATCCCTTGCCTAAATATGCAGTTTGAAGCCATTTCTTCAATGTGTTATGTCTATTTTCAAAAGTCGCCTGCGTGGCGCAGTGGTAGGAGCATCTGCTCTTGATAGATTTTTACATCATGGGTTTAAATCTCATTGTGAGAAGTGGAGTTTGGATGAGACCGTATAAATCATTGTCCCTTTTCATAGTAGGTACTGGCACAAAAAAAATCCCTCACTACTCAACGACCCTGAGTCCCGAGTAAAAAAGGAGTAGAGGGCATTTTCATATCAGTGAAAAAATGTTCAAGAGGGAGTTATACAACAAATAAACTATTTAAATACAAATCAAAATATTAATCTGTATAGGATTTTTTTTAAAAATGTTTATTTTTCTTTCATTTTACTGTAGAAACAATTTATATATCAACAGCAGATAGGGAAAGCCACCTTTTTCGAATAATTTAATTTTGCTTAGGCACAGCGTTTACAGAATTTTCTTCTGAACCTAGTTCATTCAGTACAACACATCTGTACCTAGAAAATGTATACTTGGCATCTAAAGTGAATTTTAGTGGAAAAGACAAAAATCTGGGCTCCCTTTGATTTATCTGGATATTGGACAATTCGTACACATAGTTGTTCGTGTCCTTGTCATTTCGTTTTGGTTTAGTCTCTCCTGACGAGTATCTCCCTATTTCTACTTCGTCTCTGTACCACGTGACAGTTGTTAACGGATTGGCTAAAACGTCACACACCAGTTCTACTTTATCTGCTCTTTTTCCAGCAAAAGATGATACAACCTTAAAATTTCCTTCGTTGAGCTTAGTTTTTATTTGAACATCAGGCAAAACTGGAATAAAAGGTTTAGAAATTAATAAAATACTTTAGAAGGCTAGCTACGAAAATGAATATTTTGAAAAAAAAAAGTTACCAAGAGACATGAAAAACTAATGAGTATTTGTGAACAATCTTCTGCTAGTACTGGCGGTAATACTCACATTTGACATTGAGAGTTATGTTCTGTACAGCAGCCTTATCCCTGTAATTATTGGTTGCTCGACATTGGAACTTAGTCGCACAGAACCTTGAAACATTGTGAATCCCAAGCATGCTACCTCTTATTCCAATATCTGTATATAACACATGTAACGTTTAAAGTACAAGAATTGCATTCATTTTCATCTAACTGACATAGGCGTAGTCACAGGGGGGGCAGCGGGGGCACTAGCCCCCCCACTTTAAATAAAATAAAGATATACTGGGGGGCAAGAAAAGGATTATGTCTGTGCCCCCCCCCCCCACTTTTTAATGAAGAACAAAATCACAGCTATTTTGAGGTAATAATAATACATAGTAATAAAATTGTGTAGAAAAATTGAAATTGAAAGTACATTGCCTTTGAAAAAAAAGTTGGCCACTACCCCCCCCCCCCCCCCAAGGTCAAGGTCAAAAGGTCAAAGTTTTTGGTATCCACGAAATAGGATTTTCGAGTTTGGGGAACTTTAGTTTTTTTTTTTTGCTTTTCAAAGAATTTCTGGACTTGAGCCCCCCCACCCCCCACTTTTAAGCCTTTGACTTGAGCCCCCCCCCCACTTTTAAGCCTTTTTTTTTTTTTTTTTTTGTTATCATAATCATGTCAAAGAATTTCTGGACTTGAGCCCCCCCCCCCCCCACTTTTAATTTTTTTTTTTTTTTTTTTGGGGTTTTAAAATAATTTTTGGGGTTGAGCCCCCCCCCCCCCCCCCCCACTTTTAAGTTTGTGACTACGCCTCTGTAACATACAAGTAGTTCAAATTTACCAGTTATCCCCCCCCCCAAAAATAATCAGTATTATAATAAGTTGCCATAATATTTTTGAAGATGGGAGACATAACCAAACATAAAAATCATACTTTTTCAGTAAACAGTTTTATACGTAATTAAATAAAATAAAGAAAATATACATTTAATCAAAAAACCTTTTACTTCACAACATTTATCAGTATACCTATTGAAAAGCAATCTTCCAAAATATTTTGGGCTGTTGGGTAAGAATTTGAATTAATAACAGTTATCATCATAAGAGGATGGGAAACCTATAGTCTTTGTAAGTGTCAGATATATCACCAAGTACAACAAGCAAATTCAAAGAATTGTGATCCCCCGCTTTCGGTGTCTTTTTGGGTGAGATTTTGTGTCTAATATGAACGCCCTATCATAAGTCTTCTATTTAGTAATCATCACTGAACTCCAAGGTCAAGGTCAAAGAGTTAACGTTCTTGGTATCCAATGAAAAGTCTTCTCAAAAGGATTACATATGTGAAGTATGAAAGCCCTTACCATTCAAAAGTTATGGTCAAGGATAAAGTTTCATCATAAGAACAGAAATCTCCAAGGTTAAGGTCAAAAGGTCAAGGTTGTTGGTAATGAAAGGTCTTACCACAAATAATACATATGTGAAATATGAAAGTCCTGGTATCTACTGTTCAAAAGTTGTGGCCAAGGTAAAAGTTTTTGAAAAGTAGGTCAAAGTCCAAGGTCAAGGTCCAAGGGGCAAAGTTATTGTTATTCAATGAAAGGTCTTCTCACAAGAATTATATATGTGAAGTATGAAAGCCCTAGCTCTTACCATTCAAAAGTTATGGTCAAGGTTAAAGTTTTTTCATAAGTACGGAAATCGTCAAAGTTTTTGATATCCAATAAAATGTCTTGCTACAAAGAATACATATGTGAAATATGAAAGTCCTAGTACCTACCATTTAAAAGTTATGGCCAAAGTAAAAGTTTGGAATTTTTGTGTAAAAGTGGGTCAAACTCGAAGGTAAAGGTCAAAAGGTTAAATTTGGTGGTACCCAAAGAAAGGTTTTGTCACAAAGAATATATATATGAAATATGAAAGTCATAGTTCCACTAAATCAAAAGTTATGGGCAAGGTTAAAGTTTTTGTGACGGACGGACGGACAGACTGACGGACAGACAGACGAATGAGATTTAATGTCCCCTCGCTTTCGCGAAAGCGGGGGACAATTAAGAAATAAACAACTATATCAAAAGTTCTCTGGGAAGTAAAAACATGGACTTTGTTATCATAATCATAGAGGAGACGTGGGATATCATTGCAGTGAGCTCAGTGCTAACAGTACCCCATAGTTTCTCTTTATCCTTTTGAAATACAAATAACTTACTTGTAAGCAATTATTTTCACTTTTCTTGGGCATGCCAATGGATATGTGTGAGACGGATATTTTTTTTAATTTAAGGTCGAATTGAATGGGAAGGAACTGCTAGGGTATTCGGAACTCGTTGGCTCATTCGGAACTGGTTAAATGAGTACCTTAACTTGCTAAACATATTTTTTTTGGGGGGGGGGAGGGGATGGCGGAACTTTTATGAAACAATATCTAATTCCACAGGTCATTGAACTACGTTTGACAGAAAAACTTGATTTTGAAATAATGCCTCGTATATTTACAGCACCGCCGAATCGGTTTCTTATTCGGAACTGGTCAAATAACTGTATTCGAAGTCAAAAGCGGCGGTATCGTCTGTTTTAGTTTACATAACTCCAAAGGAATTTGGTGTTAAAAAGGTAAGTGCGGTTTTAAGTTAACTATAGTATTCAAGACATTATTCACATCGAAAGATGATTTATTGTACATTAACAGAATTTGTCAAACAATTTTGCTTTATATGTTTGCGATATATTAGCTTTATGATAGATAAACTGATTTTATAATTATTTAATAAACTTGGACAATTATGCACCTTTTTCATTTGTACAAACAAATCATCTTATTAATTAATTGAATAGCTGAAATGTCTTTTTGTCCAATTGTGCCCCGCAAGCTATGCTATAATTGTTAGTATTTAACTAAATACCCTGATACATTTCTTTTCAAGTGCTACTGTTAAGCAAATACTACAAAATCAACTTATTCAAAATTGGTTCAGTTATATAAATAATTCCCCAAAAGGAAAAAATTACAGAATTTTTAAACAGAACTTTGGATTTGAAAACCATCTTCGTAAATAATCCCCTAAATTTAGAAAAATAATGTTAAAATTTCGCACCAGAAATCATCATTTACCAGTAGAAGTGGTGTGGTATACCGCTTTCTGAAAGACTTTGTACACTTTATAATAATGGTCAAAAAATTGCTAATGAATTTCAGTATATTATAGAATGCAAAGCTTTGGATAATGTATTAAAAGAAAATATACCTAGGTAATTATTATTCTAATAGACCGAATATTATTAAATTTACAGAACTTATGTCAACTCAAAATGAATAAATTCTGAAAAAAATTATGTAAAACTAAACAAGTTTATGACACTGTCTGTCCTCCTTGATATTTTACTTACTCTGTTATTGTCTGTTTCCCCCTCTTTTTCATTTTGTAACATATTTTGTATTCTATATATTATATTTTTTGTACCTTTGACCAGTTTGTTTGAAATGTATGTTTTATTGTACCCCATGTACCAATATTTTAGTTTGGGAGAATAAACTGAACTTGAAAAAAAAATGAGTTGGAGCAACATTAATACGAGTGAACAGAGAGATTTCGTACCACCATGACAATTGATACCAATAATAAATTCTCATAAAACAGACGAGTTGAGAACAGAAACACGTAGTAGATTCACATTTGCAAGTGATGATGTGCAATCAACAATTTATTTGTTAATTTATTTTATTTATTTATCCATCGTCGGAAACCCATGGGTGATCTCGTCTTTACTTATTTATGATAAGTAAAGACGAGATCACCCGTGGGTTTCCGACGATGTTATTTATCATTTCTTTATTTACTTTATTTTATCTATTAATTTAATTTATTTATAATCAAGATACCTCTAAACAGTTCTTCCTGTTGATTTGTAACTTCCATGGCATACCACGTGACGGTAGGTTGTGGAATTCCCGTCGCATTGCACCATAAATGAGTTGTATCATGTTCCCTGACGTTCACTCTATCTCCGCTATATCTAGGTATCTCAGGTATTGCTGTTTTATTCCAAAAAAGAAAACGTTACTTTAATTTTTTATCGGTCAATTCATGTTGTTGCAAAGTCCCAAATGCTTTTTAGCTCACCCGAGCCAAAGACTCAAGAGAGTTTTTTCTGATCAAAACTTTCGTCGCCGTTGTAAACTTTTCGCATTTTAACTTCCTCTCAAGAACCACTGCACCAATTCAACCAAACTTGAAACAAAGTATATTTGGGTAAAGGGGATTTAATTTTGTTCAAGTGAAGGGCAACGCCCTCTTCAAAGGGGAGATAATTATGAATTAGTGAAAAATTAATGTTATATTTTAAAAATCTCCTTCTCAATAACCACTGGGCCAGGAAAGGTGAAACTCATGTGGAGGCATCCTCATATAGTGTAGATTCAAGTTTTTAAATCTGACATGACCCCCGTGGAAAGGTGGGGCCACAACGGGGTATCGAAGTTTAACATAGGAATACATTAGACAAATCTTTGAAATCTTCTTCTCACGAACCACTTCGCCAGGAAAGTTGAAGCTCATGTGGAAGCATTACCATGTAGTGTACATTCAAATTAAAATCTTCTCCAGAACCATTGAACCAGGAAAAATGAAACTCATCTGGAAGCATCTTCGTGAAGTGTAGATTCCAGTTTCTTCAAGTCATGACCCCCGGGGGAAGGGTGGGGCCACAATGAGATATCAAAGTTAAATAACATAGGAATTCATAGGAGAATTTAAAAAAAATTATTTTTCAAGAACCATTGGGCCAGGAAAGATGAAACTCATGTAGAGGCACCCTCTGGTAATGAAGATTTAAATTTGTTCAAATCCTGACCCTCGGGGATAGGTTGAGGGATCAAAGGTTTACATAGGAATACATAGGGAAAATCTTTTAAAAATGTTCTCAAGAAAAGCAAAGCCATGATTGGTCATATTTATACGGAAGCATCCTCTGTAGTGTAGATTTAAATTTGTTCAAATCATGACCCCTGGGGCAACTTAAGGATGGGGCTATTATGGGGGATTAAGTAGGAATACATAGGAATATTTTCTCAAGAACAGCAAAGCTGCAATTGGTGATATTTACGCTGTATATGAAAGCATCCTTGTTTGGTGTAGACTCAAGTTTGTTCAAATCATGGCACGCAGGGGTAGAGTGGGGCCAAAATGGGTGATCAAGGTTTTACGTAGGGATGCATTGGAAAATCGTTAAAATTTTTCACAAGAACAACAAAGTCGTGATTGATCATGAATATAAAAGCCTCAAAATAGGTAATATAGATTTAAAGAATGAGTGCACTTTAGTACGTCATTTGGAACCTTTTCGGCTTTTAATCTTTGCATTACAATATATCGCTAAGTTAATCTATGATTATTGTGCAAGCATATTTTTTTATATCTATGCCTTGAATTTTTTGTCATACATATTTCTGTAATTTTAGACAATGCCATTGAAAAGAACTTTATACGTCTTAAATTCCGGAAATTTCAACGGGACCACTATCGAATTAAGATACCCGCAAATAGGCGGAAACATTTAAATCGCATGGATGTGGAATGTAAACAATATAAATTGTTGACACTCGTGGACCTGTTAATTTAGTGGAGAACTCGACGGTAGTTTGGAGACTTTTTCACACCAGAAGTCTCTGCCGAGACTGTAGCTCTACTGGTTTATACTTATAATAAAGAAAGAGAAAAGTAGCAGTTGGGACTTAGAACTTTACAAAAGCAATAAGTAGAATAATGATCCTTGATAACGTCTCTTTTGAGGCAAGATTGCAATGAGACTACAACTGTAGGAGTAGATTTTAATAAAATTTTACATAATTTTTAATTTGAATAACTATGGCAACATAAATCATCAAAATCAAAATCACAAAACTGTTAATTAAGTATCTCAGAGTAGTCTGCTTGCATGCCAAGTTATATTATAATCAGACTCAAACTGTATTTGGAGAAGCATTTTGAAAGTATTTCACAGACATTTCTATTTTTAGTAACCAAGGCAACACCGTTCATCGAAATCAAAAAACTGATACACAGAATTATGTATCTTAGTGTGGTCTACTTGTGTGCCAAGATATATTGAAATCAGACTAAAACTGTAGGAGGAGTAGCGTTTTAAATGTTTTTCAAAGAAATTTCGATTTTTAGTAACAAAGGCAACCCCGTTCATCGAAATCACCAACTTGGCCAACATTTTCCTTTGGATATGTATAAATTTAAAATTAAAATTCACATTCTGTGCAAATAAGACCAATGGTCAAGTGGCGGTTCGATGTAAACAATGTCGTTGAAAACTGGTATATGAATAACAATAGAAAAGTGACAAAACTGTTAGACCCCCGCCTCAAAAGCTAGTGTCGCTCGGCATTATTTAGTACTTTCATGTAATATAATATACCAAAACCTAAGACATTGTTTAATACCTATAAAACATAAATTTAATGAAATTCTTGATTTTATTTTGCGCAAAACACCGGGATCCAACTCTCATGGTTTAAGTGCACTCATTCTTTGTTCAAATCAAGATCAATCAGGAGAATTATAACAAAGGAAAATAAAGGCTATATCATTAATAATTTTCAACTTATAAACAGCAATGGAATTATGTGTCTTATCAATTCAAAAACATCCATAGGAAGTGTAGATTTACGTTTGTTCAAATACCACCCCCTCCCGGCTCCACCGAATTGAACCCACTTTTATATTTAAACTTTTCAATACTAAACTGATATTTGCTTTTACCTAGCCAGTTTCTCAGGTGAGCGATGTGGCCCCTGGGCCTCTTGTTTCTCTTCCTTTTTTATAAGTTTAAACCAGTGGAGCTACAGTCTCGACAGAGACTTCTGGTTATTAAATAATAATCAGTATGTTAGGATTATTATTAGACATTTGCAGTTATTTCGGCTGTAATTATCGTCACTATGAATGGAGCCTCGACATCTGTTAAAAAATCTTAGATAAAAATGTCCTAAAGGCTATTGCGTCTATAAATTTTATTATTCATGTCTTCTTTCTTGAAGTTAAAAAAGTACCAAATTTACTAAAACTACAAGAGTTATCCCCTTTTCTCTATTAATTTTTTAAGGAAATTTATGTACAAACCCTAAATAATGCTTTTTCATCGTTTGATTCTGTTAGATTTTTATTTAATTTCTGCATTCTAGAATTTATTTATTACAAAAGAAGTTGTGTTGCAATAGTTTGATGTTTCAGGCTAAAATAGATACGTTTGACAATAAGCAAATATGTACAATAATCTTATACAAGTAACAGTGTATCTGAAAATATAAATATGATCTATATACAGTTCCTACTCTTATAATGCTATTAAAATCAGCTGTTCTGATCCGTAACCGCTTTACGTTTAGCGTATCAGAACAGCTGGTTTTAATCTGATTGAAGTTCTTACCTTTTAATATGAGGTGATATTCACTAATGATGGCTTGAGTGTCCCTGTTTCTACACACATATTTACCCTCATCGTAAGTTTTCAAATTTCTTATTTTCAAACTTCGATCTGTAGAAGAATCTTTGTTAACTGTAATCCTTTTATCTGTTGTAATCAGGGCATTGCCAATGAAGATCACTTCAATATTATCTTTCTTCCATATAATCTGTGTAGGAAAAAAATAGAGATCTACAATTTTATGTTTATACGTATATTGCTCATCATTAAAGATTTACCGCACTACATTACGTGTTTTCTACGTATGAAAAAGAAGGAATTAACATTGCAAATATTTATTTTTTTCTGTAGATCCATTAATAATGTACATTTTTAGCCGTACCAAGTTCTTCATTTAAAATTTACCACTTTTTCCCTCTTTCAGATTATACATGTACACACCTCTTCTCCTTTCTTTATATCACATCGAAATGGATTCACCAAATCCGACCCAGCTTCCTCTATTCTGAGTTCATACTCTACAAAAAAATATCAAATTTCAAGTCTGCATATTTAAGTGCAAACGGAGAAAAAGTGGTTGAAAACTTCATTTGAGACCCAGGGGTGTATGCTATATGCGCTTTGCGATTCTACTCCATGAAAAACAAGATGCGTTTGTGAGACACTGATGCCCCCGTATGGCAACATAGCGAATATTAGACTTATCTTAAATGCAAATGAAATATTTTGGTACCCAAAGTAAGGTCTTCTAACAAGAAATACAACTGTGAAATATGAAAGCACTAGCACCACCTGTTCAAAAGTTATGACCAAAGATAAATTTTGCGACATAAAGTAAGGCAGATCAAACCCCAGGGTCAAGGTTGTTAGTTTTAAAAAAGGGTCTTGTCACAAGAATTACATATGTGAAGTATGAAGCCTTAGCCCTAACCGTTCAAAAGTTATGGCCAAGGTTAAACTTTTTTAAAAAGGAGATCAAACTCTAAAGTCAAAGTTGTTGGAATCCAGTGTAAGGTCTTGTCACAAGGATTGACCCTAATCCTTCAAAAGTTATGGTCGAGATTTGTTTTTAAAAAGGTCAAGATCAAAGAGTCAAAATAATTGCATCCAATAAAAGGTCCTCTCACAAGAATTACATTTGTGAAGTATGAAAGCCCTAGCCCTTACCGTTCAAAAGTTATGGCGGAGGTTGTTTTTTACAAGTACGTAAATCTTCAAGGTCAAAAGATAAGATTTTTTGAAAAACAATGGAAGGTCATGTCAAAAAAATGCATATCATGATATGTGAAGTATGAAACTCCTCGACTCTACCGTTCAAAAATATGGCCAAAGTAAAAGTTTTTAATTTTGGGGTAAGTGTCCAAGGTCATATTTTGTAGTACCCAAAGAAAGGGCTCTTGTCACAAGGAATACACATGTCAAATATAAAAGTCACAGTTTAGTTCCACTACTGAGTATTAAATCAAAAGTTATGGGTAAGGTAAAAGATTTTGCGGACAGACCGAAAGACAGACAGACACGAGAAAAACTATATACCCCCGAATCTTCGATGGCGGGGCCATGAAGATTACATAAAATAAACATTAAAGCTATTTTAGCTGTAGAACAAGAGTTCTGTGGTTGAAAATCAGACAAACAAGAAAATTACAAATTCGATTTACGGCGACGGTTTTTTGTCACAGGAATCTGAGGTGTGGATAATCCCCCTTCCCAATAAAAAAAAATATATATAAAGAGCATTTACAATGTAATTTCTCAAAAATATGAGATTTCCCCGTCTATGTTATCGATATGTCAGTCTTTGTAAGCAGATTAAACTTTTTCTTACGTCAAGAAATTGGATTGGCCTTGCATGTACGGTAAAATTAAATTACTTTTTTTGATACCTATGATTCGCATTTTCTCAATCAGAGAGCTCAATCTTTAGCTAGACTTAAAAATAATACATGTAACTGTATATAAGATAATAAATGAACTTTGATTAATATGAAAGAGAGGGATTAAATACATAGAGCTGCTTCCTCATTGTCTATACTGATTTTCTTTAATTTAGACCTATCTGTATGAATACATACCTCTGGATAACTGGAAATGATAAATGTGACAATTTAGAATAATCCAAAAGGAGCATTTTAGAAATGCATTCATCATCAAAAGGCAACAAATATTTGATGTAAAAAAACGTCTTAGTGTTATTGTTCTAGTGTAATTGTACCATGAGATTGGAATGTAACACTTTATATGGTCATTTCCTGTTAGGCTCACAAAGTAAGCGTTCCTCTTAGACGCAAGTTACAAGCATCTGTAACCCTATGTAAAACACTTATAACACATACATGTAATTCGTTTTTTTCTCCCTAAGGGTTTTGTTGTTTACGGAATTATAAGGAAAAAAAAATCCATTGCAAAGGCCACGGACTTGAAGAGATATCATGTGGAAGCTAGGGGTTTCAGACAGAGAGACGGACATACCTTTTATTTAGCGAATAACAGGCGAAAAAGTCCCCAACTTTAAATATAAATTTTAAAAACTATTCCTATGAAAACTTAGCATAAATTTTGGCTCAATTGCAAACATTAGCATAAATTTTAGCTCAAACACGACCTCACATTATCCGAGTTTCACGGACAAGACACATGGCTATGCTAAATCCTTCAAACAGGGAGACAATCTTTCAAATTTAGTAAAAACTAGAGGAACTGAGAGCAATGAGCTCACTCAATGATACCCCCGCCTCCCAGATGGTTTTAATGGCAAAGTCCATAATTTGCTCTGGGAGACCCAAAATAAGTGTCAGATCAAAAAAGGAAAAAATCGGAGGTCACAATTGAATTATGAAAAAAAGAATCTGTGAAGTTATCATTAAATTTTATTCAGTGGTATGGGAGGAGTTGCGTATAAGAGATTCACACAACTTTATTTCGTGTGCTCTATTCCGGGTCAGCTGCTGTATATATTTTTTTATAATAATGCAAATAAATCCAATATTTAGCCTAGGCGTCAGAGATTAGAGATTATAAACTCATATAAATGGTGAATAAAAATTTTTGGAAACATTAAAAATAAATTACAAGCTTACTTGGACATTTTCCTGAAACGTAGTTAACGAATTTCATACATAACAAGGAGAACCAAATATAAATTGAATCCAGATATGATCAAGTCTTTCTATGACAATTAAGTGAAAATACGTCACTCGAACAGTAAATCGTGTTTTCTTTTATGTGAACAGTAATGGTGTTTTTCAAATAAATAAATATAAACAAGAAGCCTTTAAGCCTTTTGGCATTAACGCTCATCTGCGTCGATATGACCCTACTGACATTTATCAGCACATTTCCACTTTAGCCTCTGGTAAACATTGATCGCCCCTATACCCCACCCCCGCGAAATGGTATGGACAAAGTTGGAACTACACTACTAAAGGATACTTCCGTATGAATACTATGATTATTCATGGCTTTGCTGTTCCTGAGAAGATGAATTTTGTCCATTTATTCCTTTTAAAAAAAAAATAATATTATATACTTTTCAAGTTTGTTGCCCTGCCTCCGACGGTCTGGGGCGAAAATAAACATGTATTCAGTAAGTTTGATGTCCGGTACTTTGCTCGTTAATAAAAAAAAATGAAATCAAAATCCAAGTAATTTGCACAACTTTGATGTACTAGACTTGAGAAATGAGAGAGCTTCTACCGTAAAAGATAGAAGAAAGAATTATCTAGACTAATTAAGTACCCCTTTGAACCCGCCCGTCATTTTTTTCATTCCAAAAAAAACCAGAATTTTCCTGAAGAAAACGTGCTAAACAGATGAATACAGTGACAACAACTTTCGCAGTTACGCTCTCTATGACAAATTATGAAGTGAATTAATTTTAAAGTACATATAATTTTTCCATGTTCATTTAAAATTTTCAAATACGTTAACTTAAGATTTTTGAATTGTTTGTTTGACTAAGCATGGAAGATCTTAAATCTTTAGTAAGTTAAGTTTTATGACAGCATTTTGTTCTTTTATCAGGAGAAAAAAAGGTAAATTGAACATTCTCAGTTGAAAACAACCTTAATCATATCCATGCATATAGTTTGATTAAACCGCCCAGGAGTATAGAGGTTCTGATGATCTTGGCGATATATCATCTAAGTATCTCACCCCTCCGCGAAAGGGAGCATGAAATTCACAATTTCCCCAGAATCCGTAGATACTACTAAGATACCAACTATCCCAATACATATACATTGAGATTGGTTTATACTCAGAAGATCTGCTATCGCAGTGCTCATAATTTAAAGCATCCGCATAACCCCGTCAATGGTCATCCATCTATATCGTACATATTTCTATCATAATAAACTTGGTTTTTAAAAATAAAACTTATTTCACCCTTCAACTGAGCAGAGAAAAGCGGGTCACTGAATTAAAGTGCTTTTGCGTAGGATTTTTAACAGACGCAAATAGAAAAACATTATGTAGAATCCTTTGTAGGAGGAGATCACGATCTCTTGAACATGAAATGTAACTGAAATATTTTAATTGATATTTTTTATTTTTTTTTAGAGACAGCCAGCCAAAAATACTTCACGGATATTGTCCGTTTAAATCCTCAGCACCCCTACTAATGTTATTGTGATTTAAATTCAAGACACGTGGTTTAGGTTGATCTATTCAAAGGTTATAGGGTAGAACCGGTTTTATAAATAAAATTGGCAGTAAACATGATATTGCTATAGCGTGTTTCTTTAATTAACATGTCCTGTAATAAATGTTTCCAGACCTTTCTGAAAGACTTTCACGATTTTTAACAGAAAAAGGTTGGCTAAAGGAGGGGGTGTTAAAATAACAATTTATCTTATGCTTTTCGGCAAAAATTAGAGCTCTCTAGTGACCGATTCGCTGGTAAAAAGTGTGCATTATCATCTACACTGACAAACCCTTGTTTGCCTTATATGGCTATTGTTATAAATGCGCACAAGGGATCTTACCACGAGCAACTGACCAATCGTTGAATGAATATCGCAGCGTTTACGCCAAATACATGTTTACATTTTACTTCGAACACGTAGTTCAGGTCAATCTACGATCATGTTAATGGACTGCAAAATAAAGAAAATGTTCTTACGAACAAAATACAAAGATAGGAAACTATGAAAGATGTTGATGAATGGAAAAAAATGTTTAATGAAATGTAGCTATATATATGGTTTGTGCATGTCTAGTTCAGAACACCAGCGCTTCAAGGGTAAGGAAAAAGAGCAGCATCTCATAGGCATTTAAATGGACAAAACTTTGTTTACGTTCGTGACCACGTGTTTGGCCAGGGAATTCACTGGAAATTGTATTCACCGATAGTACAACAAAGGAATTAATACAGACGCAAATTGCTTTTGCAGTATGACTTTCGGAAACCTGGACTTCCGCCGTTTACTTAACAAATGTACTGTTTGTCATTATGAGCATGAAAATACTATTTTTAAAAATTCCTTTCATTTACCATAAGATTTTCCTTTTTATCAAGCGTGAAATTCCTGTAGTATTCGTAGTAACCCATAATGCAATACTCATTCAGCTGATTGGTCAGTTAAAATCATGCTGGTGCCACATTTGCTAATCTGACGCCCAAAAATATAGTCCCAGTTCCCATGCAAAATATTTGTCCAATAAGAAATTTTAATTAATTAATGACTGCAGAAAATTGTATTATAGAGAATGCTTATGTATTTAAGTTTGAATGAATGTAAAAGAGATCGATTGATTGAAGTACATTTCTACAGACATTATCAGCTGATTCTATGGTGGTGAAAACTGAAACGCAACATAACTTTTCTGTTTACTATGCCTCCACGTGCCAGTCACTTCCTAGCCACATTTCCGTGAATAATTTACCCATCTCGCTGAAGTCTCGCTAACTCTCGCCAGAGCCACTACCAGAGCTACTCTGAACTCATCGGGTTTTATAATGTGCAGAACACCGAAAAATAAAGGGTTCCGAACACATTAGTAGGGGTGCTCAGGAGATGCCGCTCGGTTTCCTTACCCTTGAAGCTCTGTTGTTCTGAACTTGACACAAACTACATTTTATTATACAACGTACATATTTTCTGGTAAACAACAAATTAAAAACGCCGGTGACATCTTTCATAGTATGACATCTTTGTATTTTTTCATATGAACATTTTTTGCGGCCCATTTCGATCATAGATTGACCTGAACCACGTGTTTGAAGTAAAATAAATACATGTCTAGTTAGCGTAAACGTTGTTATGCTTTCAACGATTGGTCAGTTGGTGCGTGATAAGATCTGCCATGCGCATTTCCCGATAATGACAAGGAGCACACAGCGGGTGTTACCGGTAGGCAGGGGATGCTCACTCCTCCATCGCACCTGATCCCCCCTCTGACGTTTTGGAGGTCCGTGTTTGCTCTGCTCATATTTTGTATTGTTTTATTGACTTTGATATTGAATACTGTTCGTTATCTCCATATCCTTCATCCAGAGTCTGAGGAAAATTATGCCCCTGTGTTTTTGGACTAAACATGCAACAAAATTATCATAATGGGAAATGAAAAACAGGATGGATGACATTTAGATGGGAAACATTATTAAAACGATGTCAAATGAAGAGTCATTAAGTTCGAAAGGTTTCAAGTTTTCTGGGGACCAGGTAATGGAAAAGTGGAAAACTTTTATCTCGGCATTGATTGTACGTCGTTTAACGTCCCTCTTGAGAGTTTTTCACTTATGTGGAGAATCCACCACTTGCGGGCAGAGAGCTACAATTTTGTCCTATACTCGACACTCATGGCCATTTAGCAGTGAGGGATCTTTTTTCATGCCAGCACCTACTGTAACACGGAACCTCGGTTTATACGGCCTCATTTGCAGGACCGGTGTCATATAGTGAGACTTCCGCCATAGCGAGACTTCCCCCCGGAAGTCTGGCTATATAGTGAGTCTTCCCCCTGGGGGGAAATATGACTATATAGTGAGACTTCCCCCCATAATGACCATAGTGAGTCTTCCCCCTTCGGTTTTCGGTTTGGATTTTATATACATTGACATAATTAAATATTTATTGTATGCTTTAGCCTTTTAACTTTTATAAATTTTAGGGACCTTTTAACTTTTATAAATTTTATGAAGTATTTTTAGGATTTGTATTTCATTTTGAAATTAAATTTTCGCGATATTAATGAAATTACAT